GAGAGAGAGAGAGAGAGAGAGAGAGAGAGAGAGAGAGAGAGAGAGAGAGAGAGAGAGAGAGAGAGAGAGAGAGAGAGAGAGAGAGAGATTGGTACAACAGAAAGGTGGATTTTTGGCTGTTAGCTTGGTCGGATTTTTACCCACGTGAATCGTGACTAAGTTCCATCTCAGCAGAGCAGCTGTTGAGAGCAAGAAAATCAGATCAAACCGGATCATGGAATAGATAAGGAGCAAGGACCATAAGGACCTGTTTCATCAAAAATAAAAAGGTGTGCTAGCATGTTGTTAATTGCGCTAATTGTCCAAGCTATATCCTACTGGTGTCCTAACCTCCAAGCTACGTCATACTTTCTTGCAGGTGTGTGAGTATTCCTGTTGATTGGTACAACAGAAAGGTGGATTTTTGGCTCTTAACTTGGTCTGATTTTACTCTGATTTTTACTCTGTTTTTTACTTTGATTCTTACCACCGTGACTAAGTTCCGTCCCAACAGAGAAGCCATTGAGAGCAAGAAAATCAGATCAAACCGGCTGTCCATGATCTCATTTTCCGGTGAGTGAATGCTCACATCGAACTGGCCGTCAACCACGAAATCAAACCGGCTATCAATGCTCCATCAATCTCTCCCACAGGAACAAGCTTGTAACCGAGCTTGGACAACAGCGGAGCTGGCTTGGCCTACGTCTTTTTTTTCCCCCTCTTTCCTCTTTTTATTCCAAAAAAAAGGGCGATGGCCTTGTGATATCCTCATTGATCTGATCAGCTTAGGTAATTCAGAATGATTTAATTCACTCATCAAGGTCCATCAGGATTCGAGCTCAGGTCTGTATTTCAACAGTTCATGGGTGTACAAACTGAGCTAGGCTCATCGGTGACTCTCGGCCTACGCCTTGATCTGAATACGTACGTTCTTTGTGGCTACACATCGAAATTTTCGAAGCTAATTGGGTAGCTCTGTTTGCCCCTACATGTGTCTTCTGTGCAGCTCAGAAGAACTGGAGAAGATGAACAACAAACTTGAGGATGCAAGGCAGCAGTTTCAGTCCATAACCCAGAGAATAGACGAAACAAACATACTGAAGGTAAGCCCAATGATTCCTCTCTAAGGTATGTGCAATCTAACTGAGCCACAAATGAGAACTGTGGCCTTACACGATCTGAATGTCAATGCCTACCGTCTTCACCCGAATAGAACGCCCGGTCATTATTTCCGTATTTGGGGCAACTTTCAATCTAGATGCAGCCATAATGACCGGGCATTCTATTCGGGTGAAGACGGTAGGAGATCAGAATCCCAATGCCTAGGAGATGAGAATGTATATGCCTAGGAGACGAAGCATGACATCTTCTTGAAACAATAGGAAGACTGGGGAGATGTTGCTCTCTGTATAAAAGATTGAATGCATTGCAATGAGAGAAGTGCAAAGGAAACTTGTATATGTATTATTTATATATGTATTATTTAACAGCCTAACAGGTTGAAAAGGTCTTCTGACGATGGAGGAAGTTAAAGGCGTTGGGGTTTTGATTTTCAGCGTGCAGAACGTTTAAGATGTTTTTATGAGGGTTGTAGCAAGCTCGTCGGTCGCTTCTTCTCAAAATAATTTACCAAAACGAAAAACAAAACAACAATGGGATTTCCTGTACATTGACGAGTAGGCTGGGGGGTGTGAAAAGGCTCAGGTAGGGACGAAATGACCACCAATACCTGCACAACCATGCATATATGTCTCTTTGCTGGGGAGTGTGTGTCTGAATGTGCTGGGGGACGGGGAGTCGGGCCCGGTAAGGCGTTGGTCTCTAGCAAGTCTCAGCTCCCCTGTTCAGAGGATTCCATCTTCTGCTGGGCCCCTTTGATCCCAGGAACTTGTGCTATCCCAAAGGGACACAGACGCTTCGCTCTCTCTCTCTCTCACCCTTGAAAAATAGTTTTCTCTATGTGTGCGTGAAGGGTGTAAATGCTCAGTGTTTATATTTGAGCATTCATTTGGCATTTTTATTTAATCCTATTTGTGTTTGACTTTAGGAGCGGTTGACTGTGGAGGTCAAAGCTCTTGCTGCACGCCTCACCGAAACAAAGAGGAAATACGAAAGGGTTTCTTTGGCTATGGCGGCAGAAGAGGAGACTATTGATAACGATGAGCACCCAATCAAGCGAGTCAGGAGCACACCGAAACCGGGAAGCAAAGGCAAGGTTGGTGTTCTGATGGGAGATGAAGATGCCAATATGATGCAGAGTGAGGACTGCTGTGAAGAAGAAGATGACGCGCTCCTGCTTGCTGATGAGGAGAATGAGCTAATGGAGAAGAAAAGGTGAGAAAACTGGAACGAGTCTATATAGAAAAAAAGGGAAGGTAAAAAACATTTCTTTGTTCTGAAGGACCAGTGAAGGTATAGAAATGGGGGAGTAGAACTTTCGTACCATGAGGTATGTGGAATTGTTTTTTCATGGTTGGCTAACCTTTGTGCACTCAAAGGAGACTTGGTGTGTTTGGGCATATGTTTCTTTTTTCTTTTCTTTTTTTTCTTTTCTTTTTTTTTGGGGGGCATATGTTTCTGACAACTCAAGAACATCCCTTTCCACAAATCTATCGTGAGAGTATCTTTGAGAGGGGGGGGGGGGGGATTTACACAGCGATATCAAGTTACATGTCACACTGTGAGAGTGAAGGCAGTAAGTGATTTGGGTCCTTTTTGTCGTTGACGCAGGTCGATAGACGTTAATGCCCTTGAGGCCGATGTGCAGTGTAAGCGGAGGATCATGGTTGTGGTCGATGAAATGTCAAATCTCAGCCGGAAACTGAGGCAAATGATGGTGAAGAAAGACGAGCTTGAAACTCTCCGCTTCAGGATGTTCACAGAGGCCATTGGAAAGGTCAGTGAAACGCAACCTCCTTGTGGAGAATGCAATGAGACTTGCATATTTCTGAAAAGATGCATGATTGATTCTCCGACGAGCGTAGTTCTTTTTTTTTTTTTTTTTTTTTCGGAACATTTCTCGATTTATGGGTGTCATCCTTGCGCAGGGGCCATGCTAATCTTCCTTCTCTGTATCGTTCTAATGTTAACGGATGTCCCAAAGGACAAACTAGAGTGGTTCTAAGATGTAACACATGCAGTATATGCCATAAGCCTAACCTCGGTTTGTTTTCTTTGGGCCCTTTTGGACTTTTTATTGGTTTTAACGGTTTTTTAATGTTTTTTTCCCCCTCTTCGTGTTTGAAAGTGCTTGGAAAAAAACTTCCAGTACTGGTCAGACACTGGATTTGATAGCTATCGTTCCTCTCTAAGTACCGTTCATTTGAATCGTTTCTGTTCAGCACCTGCGCTGTGCATTACTGGAATGACACTGAGTTGGGAATGGCAACTGTATTGCATGGTTTGGAGGGCGCTTCTGTAAGCCTATGCAAATCAGATTGAAGTCTTGACCCCTATCGCTTTTGATGATGCCAGAGTTCGTTTTCGTATAAGATCTTAAGATCAAGATCGTATATGAAAACGAACTGTTTGTTTCGTTTTCTTTAGGCGACTGAGCTATGGAGGTGAAAGGAATGGATAGTAGTGTGTATGCAGTCCTCAAAAAAAAAAAAGTGTGAGCTATGGAGATGGAGAACATGGGTAGCATGTGAGCATTATGTTCATTTACATAGTGTACGCCACGTTCCCTCATTGTTTGGTTTCCTTTCCAGGTGAACAATTGGTTGTCGAAGATATACTCCAGCCTCTCGAAGCATGGGGATGCATTCTTAAGTTACACAGAAGAAAAGTGTTTGCTCTTCACAGATGGGGTTTGTTTCAATGGTATGTACTCGGACTATCTCCCCATCATTACTTTCCCTTCTCACCACAGATCCTTCTTTTTTTTTTTTTTTTTTTTTTTTTTTTTTTTTTTTTTTGTCCGAAGGTCCATGTCGTGGTAGAGAATGGATTCTAGGCTCCGGGAGGTGTCTGTCGTCGTACTCAACCAGTGAGGGGCTCGTATGGCTTGTGACAACCCCAAGGACAGTCTTCCTCCAGGGGGTGTCATTCGTGACCTATTAAGTCGACCCCTTCTCTATCTAGACCTTAACCTACACCAACCCGCGCCTTCCGAGGGGTCGTAGATACTTCCCTCCGGGCTCTACTATGGGGATACCCCAAATCTCAAGGACGATCCGGATACAAGAGGGGTTGCGGATATACACGATCATTCCCCGCCTGTATCACAACGTGCAGACTCTATGGGTGGTGAAGCCACCCTTCTACATCAATGCGACAACCCC